TGTTAAGGAACCTTACTCTTCTCCATAACGTCCTGACCAAATTTGGGGCACACCCATCCCCCTACATAATTGGTACAGGGGGAAGTTCCCCCATATGTAAAACGACAGGGGGGGGGGCAGCTGACCACTTACCTCTATCTAGTGCCGAGGTTAGGAGTGGTGAAGCTACACCTCCACTCCCCCATACTTCTACATGGCGTGGTGATCAATTAATTAAGCCTAGGGGAAATTTTACCTTTTACTGTGCCATGTGTATAGACGGGTGAAAACGACTCAGAATTCCATCACCGCGGTTCTCTACACATACACAACACGAAACGGTTCGACCAAATCTGTTTCTTAACTCAAGAGATGTGAATAGCTCAGTCAGAGAAGTGAATAGCTAGGGAATGCAAGACAGAGGTTCCGTCATCTACAGAGACCGATGTTTTCCTCTATGTTCAGATGACCTCTCTTGTCCATTCCACTATCTAGTGGGTACCACGAGCAAATATGCTAGAACCGTTTCCAGGCAACGGCTTGGCAAACACGTTCCCGCAGCAACGAGTCGACTAGCAACAATACAGGGACTGTTGGAAACGGGGTTTTCTACTCGGTCCGTGCTTATTCAAGACAATTGGGTTCCTGTACGGGAGTCTGTGAAGAGGGGTCTTGAGCGCGTGAAGCTGAAGAATCTCCACTGTTAGAAGCCGTTTCCAGGGAATTACTGGTGAAGACACAGCAGGGTGGAAATTGCTTAGCGGGTGCTGTGGTGATTTGTGTAAATTAGCGGTGGCGCTGTAAGTGCTTGTACTTATTGGTCTTGTGTGTAAGTGGTCAAGAGATCAAATATCCAATCTAAACCTCGCTTACAGTCACTCATACCACGTGACAATATTCATGGCATGGCGTGCTAAGCACAGAAACCAACCTTCTTTCACGTCCATCTCTTCATCGAATAAACATGTAGCGATCTGTACGGACATTTGAGATGCATAAGAGACCAACGACTTGTTCAGAAGTCAACCAATAACATATCTTATGTTATCTTATGATCAAACAAAGTGAAATCTCATGTTAACAGGCGGGAAAATATTCCATGCCGGTTGGGACATGACCTAATATTGGACACTTCCTGTGAAATGTAAGACTGGAACTGATTTCATGCACACTTCAATGGCAGATAGACCTGGCATCTGAGGTGTTGATGTCCCGCGTTCTATTATATTGTAAGAGGAGAAGCGAATTACTTGAGTGCTTCTGTGGTCATGTGGTCAGAGTTCCTGGCTACATCTCCAGAAGTCCCGGGTTCGATTCCCGGCGCGAGCATATTTTCTGAGAAGTAGTGGGCCTGGAACGGGGTCCATTCAACATCGTCACGATAATTGGGGAGCTATTTGAATGGAAAAGTAGCGGCTGCAGTCTAGAAAACTGAAATTAACGGCCGTGGGGTTTCGTTACGCTGACCACGCGATACCCTCTATCCGCTAAAGTTGGCACTAACTTCGCCGATAAGCGGCGGTTATTCGGTCGGTATAGTTCGCTTGCGGACACATACAATTCATTTATAAATAGCATATCAATGTTTTAGTGTTTTGCATAATTTGTACGTTGACATTTAACACCGAAAGATAACACTCATCACCTCCCCCAGTTATAAACATTGGCCAGTGTAGGGTAAAATAGCAGCAAAGTAGAGGGTGGACGTAAATAATTTACCTTATGATGATCCTAAAATGCCTAAACATGTAAAATAATATACAAAGCTTATACACCAATTTTGGTGACGAAACCGATACTAAGAAATAATCTGTTTACTGCAAGGTTCGTAAGAAACACGTAAGAAAAAGTATAGGGAAAAAGCACAGCATTCTAATGTTGCAGTAGGTGGCATACATGGGATCTAACTAGACCGTGCTTTAAGTGTTTATTCTAACAAGGTTTAAATTAAGTTTAGTGGTTGTATGGGAGGAAGGATTAGCCTAAAACATGTAACGTTTGACGTGGCACTGAAGTTCAGAATTCCAATAACTCGAACAGCTGCATCATCATCATGGATCAAGTAAAAGGAAACGCTTCGCCGGAAGACGTATGCGAAAGCGTTGCATAAGACCGCGGTATGCACATCAATCAAGGTCCGACTGAATAACACCGGGGATGCAGCTTCTAGTACCCACGGGGTATGAAGGTTTGTGTTAGTGATATGAAGTGAGGTACCCATCAGTACTGAGGGTTCAAGCGTGCACATCTCTGTTCCTAGCATGTAACAGTCACTGGGGAAACTTAACAACTGACGAACCCACACACAGTCCAGCAGACACGCATAACCATAGTTTCGGATTATCGGCACACTGTTTGGTTGCAACGTTCCATATCACTGCTTCAATGTTTAAATCAAGCTCATAGGAACTAATGGGTCAATTTAAAATAACAACCGGGTCATAAGCTACAACAGTTACCTTCATTGGGCCTACATGTGGTATAAATTTAAAGACATTCTGGGTGTTTACCTTGATAAAGTCAAGTAGTTTGTATCTTATGGTTTATGACGTTTTACCAGAAACCTGACAAATGCCTCTTCCGAAATTTCCTTCACTACATCCTTGCTACTATATAAGCAATATGGTTGAGCAGATCATCCAACTATTCCACCAGAAGGAGCATCAGTGTGAATGTAGGTTTCCTGTAGAGAGTTCCTACACGTGTGCTGGCTAGACAAGAACAAAGAGGAGCGTAAATTTAATACCGGTAATCTGTGAGGGGGCCGGTCACGGTAGCTGAGCGGTCTAAGGCATGTACTGTCTTCGCTCGCTTGGAAACCGGGATCGTGGGTTTGAATCCCACTCAGGGCATGGATGTTTAGTTTGTGTGTGTGGGTTTTTCTGTGTTTGTGTGCAGGTAGAGGCCTTGTGATGAGCTGATCACCCGCCCAAGGAGTCCTACCGAATGTGTAAGATCTAGAAAAATCGAAGTGAACGGAGAAGTTCATGGAGGTAGGCCTAGGCCCACTGGGGCTGTAGTGCCAAGGAAAAAGAAAAATCTGTCAGGGTCTTGTGGAAGTCCCACGCCCTAAATTTAATTAGTCCTTTCAAATGCTGTAGTTGCTCAAGTCATACGGAGGATGAAGAAGCACACTTTGTTATTCAAAAGATTCAGCTGCACAGTCACCTCACAACACTTCTGAAATAATACGGAAAGAAAAACGTGTACAGCCACAGTAATCAAGCATGCAAGAAAAAATCAGTTTGGGTACTAAAATGTTACAGAAGAAATTTTAATTGGGTAATATTTACTTTTCCTTGAAATTCATCTACTCTAGTTACAAAGCAGAAATTGTAACTAGAAATAAAAGTCTGCAGGAAAAATTAATGTTTCTAGGCAAACACACGAACAGTGCAACAAGTGGTTCTTGGGAGATGTCACGAATTTCGACAGTAAGCGTCACTTTTATGTCTCAGATTTCCACCGAGTAATATGCCGCATACTGTAAGACTGTGAAGCAGTGAAATAAGTGTAGATCTGGAGAGGAGAGCGCCTTATTTTTTTTTATAAAATCCACGAAAATTATCAATTTGTAGGACAATTTAATAAAATGGAAAACAAAAACACAACTTTCCCTAAAAAAATTTGTAAATCAAGGAAAACTTATGAAATAATTATTCCAGATATCTGAGGTTTTGTCTGATGTATATATGTCTTCTAATGCTGTGCGATGTCTTTTGTTCCTAGGAATGTGAGATATTGCATAGTGTAAAAAAGTCTTCAAATACATTGTTAAGTCTATTGTTTTTAGGCTTGTGAGATACTCATACTGTATAGTGTATATATGTCGAAATGCTTTTTTAATATCTACTGTCAATAAGCTTGTGAGGTTCTGTCTTCAAATGCTGTGTGAAAGAACTCTCCTCTTGGAAAAGAGTAACATGGTGATGAAGCTAATATCCGGTGTTATGTTTGCAGTTTCCGGACAATGAAATTACTCACTGGCTGTGTCATTTTTAAGAAGTCAGATCACCAATTTATATAATCTTTCCATTGTAAATATGTCTAGTCACTGCATTCATCCAAAGGCATTCATTTTGTTGCAGATTTCATACATTCTAAAAATAACTGGCCATTCAAAACTTATTCACACAACTCATGATTTTGGTAGGTCCATTAAGAAATTTGATAGTAAAGCATAGAGTTTACTAACAAACACAAGCAAGAAACACATGTAATGAAAGCCTTAAGTTAAGACATGCTGAAAATAAAATCTGCTATGCAGCTACATCTACAGAGCCATATAAAATAGAACTAACTAACTAACCAACCTAGCAAATAATTAACTAACTCCATGGAGATAAGCCATTTTTGAGAAGCTGCCAGTTATGCAGCTATGAAAAAATTCCTGAAATTTTAAGGAACCCGGAGGTTCAGTACCATGTTCACAAAAGCCCTCCACTGGCCAGATCAATCCAGCCCATACCACCTCATTCTATCTCTCTAAGATCAATTTTAATATTATCCACTTACTTATACATCTTGGCCTTCCTAGTAGTTTCTTTCCTTTTGGCTTTCCCACCAATACCCTATATGCACTCCCCCATTCGTGCTTCATGCTCTGCTCATCTCATCCTCCTTGATCTGATCATTCTACTTATAGCTGTCAAAGAATACAGTCTTCCTAGTGGTCTCTTCTGGCTTTCCCACCAATATCCTATGTGCATTCATCTTCTCCCCCTTTTGTACTGCATGCCCTGCCCATCTCATATTCCTTGACTTGCTCATTCTAATTATATTTGGCAAAGAGCGAAAGTTATGAAGCTCCTCATTATATATTTTCCTCCACGCTCCTGTTACCTCATCCCTTTTTGGTCCAAATACTCTCCTCAGCATTATGTTCTCACACATCCTCAGTCTATGTTGCTCCTTTAATGTCAAAGACCAAGTTTCACAACCATACAGAACACATAAAATGGAACATTTTAAAATATTAAAAAAGTACACTGCAGCAGAAAATAAGTCAAAAGCATGTTTACCTGCAGGCAGTCTTTCCTCCCCATCTCTGGCAGCTTAGTCAAAAAAGAAAGAAAAGCACAGAAGGGTTATGAAGCTTAGAAATATAAATAGACTTAAATTACTTATGCATGTAACACACTAAAAGCATTATACAAATGCAGGCATAGTAACAATTATCACAAAGAAAGACAAACACTGGCATTCATACTGGCATGGTTATGTATATAAACAGTTCTAATTAAGTATATCTTACATACCAACACAAAGAATACACACTTCCTTTGCTGTAAAGTAGAGTTACCATTTGGAATGACCATCAGTCTCAAAAAGGTCAAAAAGTTACAGCAATGGATGTCTGAATGTGTGACCTAGTTTGTGACTATAAACAATGGGAATTTTTGCTTGACATAGTGGTCATCAATATTGTAGGTTGAAGTAAAGTAAAGTTACCATTTGGAATGACCATCAGTCTCAAAAAGGTCAAAAAGTTACAGCAATGGATGTCTGAACATGTGATTTAGTTTGTGACTATACACATTGGGAATTTTTGCTTGACATAGTGGTCATCAAGATTGTAGGTTGAAGTAAGGCGATGTCATTTCTCATGCCTCACCTCCCCATTTATATTTAACAATTTGCCTGGGACTCCCTGTACAAATATCACAACTACAACCCTGCCAATTTTCTTAATAGGAACGAAAACTGAAGAACTTCACTTTACACATGCCTCTTTTAGAATCCATATATGCACCAGGCAAATATAACAATTTCCTAGTGGACTGAAGTTAGCAACTACATATACAACTTTTGGTTGTGGATAGAGTGGATGTTGAACCGTTTTACTGCAGTGTTTGCCTGGAAATCTGTGGAAAACTGCAGTTAGGATAGTCATCTTTCAGATTAAGAATCGAACCTGGGACCTCCTGAAAGAATAGCAGGAGTGTTAATCACTCAACTATAAGGTCCATTGTCAAAGAGTGTTCCTCAGCTCTGAATATATTTTCAGCAAAAATTATTTAAAAGGCAGAGCCATATGTGTGTTTCACTTACAGCCCAGGTTTGAGATGACGTGCAATATGGTTCACTGGGTCACTAACAGAAGATGATGGAATTACAAAGAAAGGAATTTAGACACTCAAACACTTAAATGCACCGAAAAGTTCACGCAACCCATGGAGAAGCAGAAGTAATGAAAATAAATCCAGGAATAATGCTGTGAACATTTGCGATGACAAATTAATGTTATTATATTGACAGTTGTATCACTGTTGGCTTCACTTTACAAGAAATGAAGTGTACTACAGGAGTTTTGACTTGTTTTGATCCCAACAGTCCTATCATTTTGAACAGGGTATTCTTTTTGCACATTGCAAGCTGTCTAGATAAGGAAACTAATGACAAGACCGATATTTTGTAACATATCACAGAGTAAGTGATTTCCAAACAATGCTTTCCTGCCTACCTGCAAAACTCTGATGAAGACTGGAAGATAATTTTAAGAGAGATCTGATACAGACTCATTGAAATGGACTTGATGCAATAAAGTTGCTACAGTGTACACTGACAGGATTTTGTTTCACTTGTGTTTAAGCTTTGGATTCTAATGCCACATAGTTGTTTTAGTTAGCTATCTATATAGATGAAGTATTACTGAATGAGTGAATGAACACATTCATCTGTTCACCAGACACAAAATGGTGTACTGGAATAATTTTCCACTAGATGATTCTCATCCCCTTTGGAGTACAAGTAATTTAATACATCCATGCATGAGTACAATATAGCCAGTATTCAGTGGAGAGCCTACAATCACGTAAGAGCTATAGGCCTATTAGAATGTATGTACAGTTGACCATGTCATCCTCGTGAACTCTGCCTCTCTATTTCGTCCAATAGGCGTGCTAGGAGCATGTATTCAGTGGCTGATGATACTGTTCCCTACTGAATGACCAGGACAGGTTATGTGCCACTCAAATGGGACAATGTAGTGTAAGGATGTAAGATAAGATGTGTTAAATGGAAGTTTCCCTTCTTATTAGTTATTTGAAATTTTACACAAAATGTTTTCAATCATTTTAAAGGGAGAAGTATTGCAAGTATACAAAAGGTGAAACAATTAAGTAACCTGAACTGTATTAGGTAAGCACCTGAACATGCATGCAGTTTCTCCAGCTCATCAAAAATACAAGGGTGGTATTCTTCTCAAACATATTATATTAAAAATACATTGCTGTAATAATGTACAGAATGCATGAACTCCTGTGCAATATTTACATTTATCTTACCACATTCTCTGCAAAACATCAGAGATTACAGTCTCATCCATTTTTTGCACTGGAGCGAATCTTGTTCAAAGGTTAAAAGAATAACAAACAAAATGATGACAAGATAAGGCAAAAGGGGGGGGGGGTAATGTAATGCTATCCCTGTAACAGGCCCTGAAGGCCCATAGGGTTGTGAGACGTGAAGGCTCACACATTTTCTTTGGACAATAGGCTCACAGATGACGGTAAGATCAGACTTATGCGCCAGCCGCCCTTTACCTCCCAGGAAGATTCCTGGCACTCATTTCTATTACAGCCTGAGTCGACCCCAGGGCAATAGTGCGGCTGGAAGGATTAGGTAAATTGATACAATCCACCTCATCGGGGCTCAAACCCGCGACCTTCCAGCTTGTAGCACAGTCAGCAGGATGTATTTCTTGGATGGGATAAGAAAAACTGCTGCAACATGTCAGTGGAAAAGCTTGTGGTATGAAACCATTTGGGATACCACAGGAAAGGTTGGAAGATATTATTAAAATGTAACCTAAGGGAAACACTTTGTAGACTCATAATGTAAAATAAATTGAATTAGCACTAAAGATAATCCAATGGCAGCCTTATGTGACAATGGAACGAACTTTTTGGCTCCATAAAAACGAGAGATTTCTTTAATAATCAGCTAGTTATTAAGCAAAGATGAAGCTAAAAGTCAGCCTGTGCCCAATCTCCACACAATGGAGGCATCTAGGGGAGTGAAAGAAAGGATACACATATTCTTAACCTTGGTACTGGATGGATGTAAGTGGTTAGATTGCACACTGGCCATTTTCCTCACAGGCAGGGGCCACCAGTTACTGATTAGCAGCTCTGGACACAGCAGTAAAAAGAACATCACCCTTTGCTGGGAACGAAACTCATGTTGTACATAGTACAGCAGGTCTAGACACTGTGGAAAAAAGGGGAATGCCCCTCCTTGTTGGGAATAAAATTCCAGTTGTACAGCCTGTGGCCAATTATTTTACTGATTGAGCTATACTGATTCTTTAGAGTGAGTACAAGTATATACACTTACTGTAAACACCAAGGGCAAAAACATCAAATGGTTTATACATATTCAGCAACAATTCATCATGTGTGTACGTGTATGCTAAAAGTTATAAATCTGAAGTTTATTTTGTGCAGGATTAAGTAGACTCATCTTCAAGATGTCACCATATGCATTACAGGAATCGTTGAGTTACAAATATTTGTACATACCTTGAATGTTAAGTTGTTATCCACTTTAATAACTAATTATTTGGTCATATAAACCTAAATTCATACATATCAACCAGTCACCATTCCTGGGAACTAGTTGCAGTGGTAGCATATAACGTCTAAAATTTGCATAAGGTTCTCAGTCACTCTGATGCACTACATCCTTGTAGAACAGTGTCCTTCTACCTTGTCATCATCCAACTATTAACTGTGTTCTCCTTAACTCTTAACTTACATATATGGTCAGTTAGGGCCTTAAGTTACAACTATACATGAACCCCCTATGTCCTTTAAAACATTTCTATATTCAAAATTTCCCAAAATACTCAGCATGAAAGGGGTAAGAAATTCCACATACAGTATGGAAGGCAGTGCAAGCATTCAAGTAAATATAAAAAACTTTCCTTGTTCAGTTTCGTTGAATCTGTGCTCCACTTCATCACAATAGTGCTGTTTACTACTACACTTATATGTAACTGGTTCATCCTCTGGAGAATTATATGCATCTGATGGAATCCTGTCATGTTGAATCAAAAGAGATAACCATTTTTGTCCACCACACACACAGAGTCTCTTCAGTCATGTGCTACTTTTATGATCACGACTACTACGCTGCTGGTGATGCAGTCTGGCAATGAACAGATTGCACAAATGTCACCACTTACTGTTATGTATATCATTATGGAGCTCAAATCTAACTTCACCACGATCTTCACCCATGCCTCTGTCTGCCTTATGATATTATTTCTCTAAATGCATAAACACTGAAATGTAACAGTGAGAAGACGCTTGCTGGTGATACTATATAGGCACATGGCATACCACTCGCTGGTCTTGTACATGAGAGAAAAATGCAGAATATGGTAACAGATGGTGCTGCTAACATTCACTGTTGGCCATAAGTGAGCACTGAAGAGAAGCTCTAGGAAGCATCCGAATTTGCAGACAGGTTGGAAGTGCGGTAATGAGAAAGACGCCCAATAAGAACATATCTGTAGGCTGTTGGCCCAATTCTTCATAACTGTGGCCCATTTAGAACCATATGATTCAACCCTGAAGATGGAGGCAGGATGTACTTCCAAAATGTTGGTAGCTGCCCAAAAGATCACACAGTGCCGCAACCACAAAACTTCAATTTTGGGCACAGTCTATATTTTACCAACCTATTCATATTAAATCAACTAGTGTACAACATCACAAATTAAAACAAACCAGACATCATAATAAAGCATCTTAAAATTCCACTTACGTTTCATCTGTATGAAGTTAAGTTGCTCAATGGCCCTCAACACAGACTTGTCCTCCAATGTGAGATCAAATTCATGTGATATTCTTGGTGATGTGACAACATCTTTGTGCCAGGTGATGTCCACATTAGCGACCCTTGTTATGAGCATGGACCCAACCTGCCAATAGAAATTACAATGATATTATTTCCACTATCAGAACACATTTACTTTTGTATATATGTTTAGCTGAGGTCACCTATCCTAAGAATTTGTCCAAGTCCGAGTCCTTGTATAACATTTCATAACAAATTTACTTCTAGAGTGAGGAGTTGTCAGCCCTACGCCCAACTCCAAAGCTAGAGGACCACGCATCGTCGACTGTCAGCGACTGCATTTTGAATATACTCGCAGCTACTGGAATCTGTCTCCTTCTTCCGCAATCCGAGGATGCGCCATGCTGCGGTGACAAAGGACACACTTAACAACTGTTTCAATAATTAAACTGTATATATATCTTAATGGAATCAGTGAACACGACTAAATACTCATATTTCTCAGATGTATTTAAAATTCCAGTTGTTGTGGAAAGAAAGGATTAAATGTTTTCATTAACATCTAATTTTGTGCATGGGTCAAAGTTCAAGAAGATCAGTAGGCATGGACTTAAATGAAGTCTCTGACAGAAGAAACCAGTCTAAACAATATTTTATAGAAGTGGTTACAATTAGGTAGACCCATGGCAAGTTTAAAATAACCTGCTGCCTCCATCTTCAGAGTACTCTTCTATCCTGATGAGGTAGTAGATACATCCGAAACGTCGGTACCTATCTACCAGATTACAAAGCTTCACGTCCTGTACGACAATATTTTGACATTATCACCACGAGAACATAAAACCTCACATACAAAAGTTCGTTTTTATTCTGAGGGCCAAAAGAGCCTGACACATTCATCTGTGGAAAAGTGTTCACTTAGTAAGCATTCATATTCCTCCAAAGCTATGCTCCTAAGGGGAAACAACGGAGCATTGTTTGGGACTACATTTCGCAGTTATGATCAGTCTGGTCAGTTCCCTCACAGTATCAGCGAAGGTGGCTTTATCTTCAAACACGGGGTCAGTAGGTCAATGGACGAACTGCGCAGCCCGCATTACAGGTCGCTGCCCTTAGTAGTGTTAACAAGCTTTGACGTTATATCATGACATGATATGAAACTTGTGTTACAGCAGGCCAAGTGAGGAGGAGGGATTGTGTGGTAAGCCAATGCTGTTCGCTCATGGAAACGATTATATGATCCTCAGGTGATTTATAAATATGTACGTACGTTATTTGAGTATGGCGTACGTTATGTTGTTCTCGCTCTGTAGAAATTGTCACATACTGACATAGATAACAATTCTATGCTTGAAAAAATGTAATATGAAAGATGGCTGTACATAACTAAATTCAATGTTAGAATGGAGAAAGGAGGGAATGAGATAAAGGTATGAAAGGCACTGAGGAAAATAAATAAAAAATGAGGGGGGGATGAAAGATGACAATACGAAATAAATTATACCCCGTTGAATTTCAACTGGCTTCTCAACTAGTATAACTTATAACCATTTGTATGTTATGTACGAAATATGGTCCTTAGAAAACTGTGCTCTTCTGAATTTATTTGGCCAATGAAGGAAACCGCCCCTACTGCCTCTTACCAACTCAGGCTGTTTGGAGTTAGAACTTTATGGATTGCATCCTGTTGTGTATTCACTAGTTACATGGACTGGACCGTCAGCACAACATAAAGAAAGATAACTTCAATGTGAAGACAAAACAGATGCTGTGGTCTCTTTTATTTGTTTATTGTAAGCAGGTGTATGCTACATGTTTCGACCTATACTTAGATGTATTCGTTAAAAATCACAGCTGCAATACATTGTACAATATGGATCCATATTAGGGCAACTAAACTCAAGTAACTTAGTTTATGATTTTTTTATGGAATTTGCCTGATGATGACCTAAGTAAAGGTCGAAACATGTAGCATACACCTACTTACAATAAACGAGTAAGAGGCAACAAACCATATATTTTCTCTCCGCCTTGAAAATATTCTTTCTTCTGCTGTGTTGACTGTCCAATTGACATAAATATTTGGAGTTAGTTCAATAATTTGATTTGAAATAATAATGGGTCTTACCGATAAAAATTGTTTATTTTTATTCAATCAACATGGGAAGCCCTCACAAGCTTAGGATACCAGCTGTGTAAGAATAGCAAATGTGTAGCAAATTCAACAATCTAGTATGTGACAGGGTACATATGGATATATTCCCAAAGTACTTTTTCGTGTTCAAGATATGCAAAGCGGATAACCCCTTGATTTTCGTCTACTTTTTTCCATCAACACAATATTTGGCCCTTATTACGGGGGTTTGATGCAATGATAAATTCGGAGAGGAGATATATTAAAGAAATAAATGCAGGGACACTGGGGAACACAAAAAATACAGGTTATATCAGATTTGGTTCCAGCTTTGATTTCAAAGTGTCCAGTCTAATGTTATCAAATTCTCTGCGTTTGTTCTGAAGCTAATGGCATCACTTCTATGAAATGCGAACTGACAGGTGAGCGAGGACCCGACAAAGCTCCAAGTTAATGCATCTGTATTAATCCCAATTATGATAGGCACGGCTCAGTATAAACAAAAATATTACTAATTGGGAATTGATCCATGGTCATCCGAAAAACAAAGCTGTAACCACGAATTATTACCGACAGATATGGGATGCCATTTTTTAATTCAATGATCAAAGGGGTGGGGGCTTCAACCACGTCATGCAGAAAAAAAAAAGAGTAGGTATTCAATGTTAATCGCAATTGGCAGTGTCTCCCCAAACTGTTTATAGCTAAACATCCCTAACGTAGAGAACAAGACACCAAGCGTAGCATGTAATTGAAAATAAACAATCTCTTATTGTTCCTCTGGTTACATACCTTTGTGGGATTCAGCCCCTAATATAAACAAGCCTTCTTTCCCGTTAAAAATAACGCATGGACCTACATAGTTTCATGCAGAATAATCAGGCATATAACATAATAATAATCCCATAATCCTCAAATTCATATTCTATAAATATTTTTAAGGCAGCTTATATAAAATTGTATAAAAATCCGGTAAAAGAAACGTTGATTAAAATACGCGACAGATCGCGCATTGTAACGTTGATGTAGACTCAGCCTGTATTGATAGTCACGTAAGACAAAGACAGTCTTCTTACTGTGGTTATAGATCCACTAATTTCATATTACATATCTTTTCAGCTATTACATAAAATTAAACATAAAATTATATGGAATTATCGTACAATTTTGAGCAGACATGAAACGAAATATTCTGGCGCCTGAGGAAACTCTCTACCTAAAGCCATGGATTTCATTTTTTACTGTTAAATGACGCTATCGGTAATTGAGACCCATAAAGCGTAAAATGAGTGGACGATGGAATGAATGTGGAAGTGGTCATATTCTAACTTAAGGTACAATACCGGAAGCTTCCTGGATATACTGAGGTAAACCATGAAAACACTCAGGATAACCCGTGCTCCGGCCGAGATTCCAGCATTGCTTCAGCCGATGTGCCCAGTAAACTCCATGGATCAGTCCTACAGAAACTACTAGTCGCTCATCTAGACAAAAAAATATACAGTCCTATATGAAATCCGAGGATTCATTACCGTGTTCACAAGAGACCGCCTCATCCTGAGCCAGATGAATCTAGTCTACATCTTTATAACTACTACCTATACCTATGATTTCAGCACCCTGGGGCAAAATTTGTAAATAGATACTCGTTTTAAATATAGGATAGTAAGTAAAGTAAAGCTATCCCTGTACCAGGCCGTGAAGGCCCATAGGGTTGTGAGACTTTGAGGGGCCCACATTATCTAGACAATCGGCTCAAAGATGGCGGTAAGGTTGTCAGCCTTACGCGCCGGCCGCGCTTTACTCCCCAGGAAAATTCTTTAATTAATTGCTGGTACTCATTTCTGTTAGAGGCTGAGTGAACACCGGGGCCATAGTGCGGCTGGAAGGATTAGGTCAGTTGAAAAAATCCAATGACCTCATCGTGACTTGAACCCGCGACCTTCCGGCTTGTAGCATAGTGCCTCAACCAACTACGCTACCGCGTGCAAGATAGTGGATTCATAAATTTCAATTAATGATTAAGAATGTTTTATGAGCCAAAAGTAAGACAGTAGCAAATGATGTAACTGTTAAATCGAACAAAAGTCATGATTTTAGTTAATCTACATTTTGGGAGCCGCTTCAATTAGGCGCCTTAGGCGAATACCTTAATTAGCTGAAAATCTGCCGAACAGTGCATGAAGAAATTCAGAAGCCTAGGAGGTGACCCTGCCAATGACATACCATAGAGAGCTACACAAAAATACTCTGGCGTATTTACGCCATGCGAGAGCTGCTGAGCCGCGGAGGTGTGTGGGCGCGGTGATTGCGCAACAGTAAGGAAAGCGGTGTTTCCGTGCCGTGCCGTGCCGTGCCGTGCCGAGCAGCACCGAGTTGGCTGCTATGCAACGTTGCGGTAAACATTCCTTTTCAATAATATAAGCTGTTTTCTGTAGGCGGTCGGTGCGGAGGCTATATAACGAGATTGCTGGAATAATCAAGGCAATAACCTGTGTGGAGGCGGGGTCGAATACATCCACCGTGACCCTGCGAGTCGTAGGAAACGACGAAAAGGGAAGTCTCAAATCTGATACGGTAAAATATGGTCGCCGAAAAAAGACAAACCTTTCTTCTCATCAGAGAGGGCGCCCCACGAAAACAAGACCGTAACTGTCAAACAGTAATAAATATCTGGTCATGGGCCCCAAATGGGGCTCGACACCAAGACTTCCTGACTGACTGACCGTCAGTCACAATCTGACTTCGACTTAACCAAAGCAGTGTTTTAGAGTATTTCAGAGTGTTCAAGTATTTGAGTGTTTAAGTTCTCGGCGGAAGATAGCCACGGGAAGTTCGTCGTGTGAAGACTTGGCGTGTGATTAGGAGACTTTAATTATGTGTAATATTTGGAGTGATTTGTGATACGTGTCTCCTATACTGTAGGAAGAATACAACTTACAAGCATGTGAACATAAAGTGCATTGGAAAATATCTAGATCTAAGACGGGCGAAGCATTTGCACAACCCTGGAGTAACTGGTGATTTCTACAGGTCAACTGTTACTGTTAGTATAAGGAAATACGGATGGTCCGGAAAGCCTGTACATGTAATTCGGAGGGAGATATTACAAACGCATAGATAAATTCAGTGAAGAAACCCGCTGGAAAGCGAAAATATTATTAGGCTGTAGACATTAAGATTGGGATATTTGGGTTTTGGACTGTGAGAATCTTGGGTTCAAATCCCTTCATAAAGAAGGGCCATCCTACGATTTTTGTGATTTTGTTCAGTCTCTCTACAAAATATTAGAATAATGCTTCGCGATCAATGCTATTTTATCCAATGGGCAAACTTGATACCTTCCCAGGGCCGTCTGATTTTAAGGACACCGACCACATGAGTACCACCACCATGTCTTTAACATTCGCCGGAGAATTTCGAAATATTTTAAGAATGCATTTGCGCAGCAATTTCCCAATAATCACGGAATTATTAGCATTTGAGTAGGCGTCTCTACTCTTCATGTTCTTTGCGGTTATATTAGTACAAATTAATTTTGTATTGGTATCACATGAGACAGCCGGGATAGCTCAATCGGCACAGCAACGGCCGGGATTCGATTGCTGGCAGAGGCAAAAGATTCTTCCTCTACAGCGTCCAGAACTGATCTGAGGCCCAACCAATAGGTAACTGGGGCTCCTTACCTGGGGCGGGAAGCAAAGCGGCCGGAGCGTGTAGCTGGTCAATCATTTCTAGGTCAAGAATAGTGGAGTTATATATCCACTTTTCCATACATCTTCATAGCTTGATGCTTAATGAATTAAGCACAGGGTCTTAGCCTTTACTAGTATTAAACTGTAAGGTATTTTCCTTAAAAGTAACGAGAGAGGGCCAAAGATTATGCTACGTCCAAGGCCCGTCATTATCTTAAAGCAATTCTGCTCACAGAGGCCCTAACTTCTTTATGTATCCTCTACAGTTCATCACTCACAGTCATTCGATTCTATACGAGATATCGAGTTGAAAAGCGGGCTATATCGATGGGTTGCGAGGGTGCATCGTGTGTAACAGCAGACACTTACCTGCAGGAAAGCAGCGGAATCTGTCTCCTTGAGTGCCTCTATGCAGAACTGAAGCAGACCTGTTGTGTGCTGGAGCTTGCAGGTGCAGGTGGACACCTGGTCCTTCAGGGTTCTCAGCTTCATCTCCTTGTTCTGCCTGATGAAGTCCAACAGTTCCTGCTTGCGTCTGTGGATCGCCTCTATCAGGGCGTCGCACTGTGTGGACACCTGAGTCTCGAAGTCCGAGCAGTTCTCCTGAAGACAACGAACATCTCGTAAATCTCGCTGCTCTAACGCGTTATCACTGACTACCACACGCGACACTATAATTGCAGCAAGCGTCACTGGACCAGTTCCGGAAACCATATTTTAAAACCAGAAAGTTTTAACGAGAGACTTTCTTCGGAACTATTGCCTATCGCACGTTCAGAAAGCATTACACGTCAACACACACAGCGACATTGGTCGTACGGAAAAATGTCGTACGATCTTTTTGCCGTACGACCTCCTTTTCACACTAGAGCGACAAAATACATTTCTTTGCTCTCCGACTGCCGTACGGTAGATGTCGCATGTCGTCACGTATGAAAGCTAACACTACACTTTATATTCTACTACTTGATGCGACATGAGCCGTAGGGACGTCGTACGACCGATGTCGCTGTGTGTGTTCCTAGCCTTATGGCTATAAACTCAGACTTCCCGTTTGTCTCTTCACACTGGCCTGTGTAGTTACGTTTCTTCTATACAGTGACAGTGAAAGCAGTTTCGTAATTCACTGATGCGAACATAAGCTTATGTACGGATATATTATCATGCCGTGGTTACTTCTGTTGTGCACATATGTTTGGTGTATGCTTTTGGAGTCTTGGTTTCTTTCCTTTGTGCTGTGTGTAGTTGTTCTGGTTGTTTAGTGTAGTGGTAAAGGTAAAACTACCCTGTAACAGGTCTTGTAACAGCGTAGAACGCGATATCTCTACTGTCGTAGGAGCTGATCACCATACTATTTGACCATAACCCACCGCAGGAAGAGAACTGTTTAACAGATTAGTTGAGCATAGAAATCGACAGGAGGAAGACAAAGAGAAGTAAGAAGGAGAAGAAGTCAGAAGTGAAGATTTTACTTTATGTGGTGCAGTTGCAGTAACCTTTAGGGTGTTATCATTGTTCGTAGTTACGGAGTCTTATAGTTACAGTAAGATTGTGTTACAATTAATTGTAGTTCCGCCTGTGAATATGCAGTAAATCGATTCATCCAATCTGGAACCTATTAATTACAGCAGTGTTCAAATTAATTTTGACAAAATGAAAAAAAAATATTAAATTTTGACATTTGTTTATTCTAAGCCTTCAAGTACGAACAAATCTCTCACATAATTTTTGTAATAAATGTGTCCCCATTTCGCTAAAATGACTTCCTGGACACGTTTTGGCATTGACTCCACCAGCTCAGAGCAAATGTTTTTCACTCCACTTTCGTTGAACCACACTCTTACCACGTTCGCTACCACGCGTTCAGCTGAACAGTCCATTTTACCTAGACGTTTGTTCAGTACGTTCCACAAATTTTCGATTTGGTTCATGTCTGGAGAATTACCAGGCTAGTCGAGCATGTTGATTTTGTTTTCGTGAATGAACTTCTTCACTGATTTTGAGTTGTGGCATGGCGCAAAGTCGCGTTGAAATGTCCCTTTACAATTTGCAAACGTCTGCAGGAAAGGTAAAACTATACTTTTGAGGATTTTGATGCACTTTAATGAATCCATCATGCCGTCAACTGGAACTAGACTCCCAGGACACTTGCACTGAAAAAAAAAATCCAAAATATTTTTAGAAGGTATTTCACAGTCTGCTGAAGATACTCCGCTCTCACTGGTTCATCACTGTTTCGTCTTACAATACTAGCTCTGCAACTCTGAACAAAAAAAGTGTGATTCTCCACTGAAAGTCACCTTCTTCCAGTCATCAGTCCACGATCTATACTTATTTGCCAATGCCAACCGTTTCTGCTTCATAGCAGGTGTCAACAATTGCTTTTTGATTGGTTTTCTTGATTTCCGCCCAACTTCAAGAAGCTACGCCCTACAGTTGAAGCATCAATATCAATCCCTGACATCAATGAATCTCATCGAAGGTCCTTACTTGTCATTGTTGGATGTAACCGCCTGTTTCTCAATAGAAGCTGATTAGTATGAGGAGTGGTTCTTCTTTTTTTTTCGCATTTTCCTTTTCTGTTTGGAGAAAGTGATGCGGAATCCTTGTATGCACAAATAATTCTTGACACACTCGATTTTCTCATACGAACAAGAGAGGCAATGTCCCTCACAGTCATTGATGGGTGTTCATTAAAAGCAACGTCCTTTCCGTTCATCGTCTTGTAACGACTCTCCCCTTCTTGGAACTTTCATGCCATTCGAACACACTTGTTCTCGATAAACTTTCTACAACGTAAGCGCTTTTCAACATTTCGAACGTTTCAGTAGCCGTTTTCTTTAATTTTACACAAAACCTAATCGTTGCTCTTTGCTCCATTTTGAAACCTTCGACACGACGAAAAAACTAATTTCACCAAAACAACTGTACACCTCATATGCGTCAACCAAACAAGTTGAAACTTGCACATCATATAAACAAACGTTTTCTGTAACTAGTCTCTTTCGTTCTCAATAGATGGCATTAGTAGTATTACTGTAATAGCGTCAGATGGGGAACTTTATTGTCACACTGTGTATACACCTGATGATGGCCAGTTAGCCCGAAATGTGCAACGTAAAATAATTAATGCCGGTCACGGTAGCCGAACGGTCTAAGGCATGTACTGTCTTCGCTCGCTTGGAAGCCGGGATCGTGGGTTCGAATCCCACTCAGGGCATGGATGTTTAGTTTGTGTGTGTGCGTTTTTCTGTGTTTGTGTACAGGTAGAGGCCTTGCGACGAGCTGATCAACCGCCCAAGGAGTCCTACCGAATGTGTAAGATCTAGAAAAACCGAAGTGAACGGAGAAGTTAAGTTCATGGAGATAGACCTAGGCCCACTGGGGCTGTAGTGCCAAGGAAAAAAAAAACACACATTTGATTCACACGCTCTCTCACAGAAGTCTGGCCAGGTTATGATCCGTATTATCCATGACAGGTCTCCCAGTAGGCCTAGTAATCAGAGCTTGCCAATGTTAGTATACAGCGTATGCCTGTGACGAGTAGTAAGTCGGGAATCGAACCCCTAAACTTTGGAATACAGGTGAACATTAAATCGGAGTATACTGTGGATGAAAGGCAAGAGCCAAAGATTACGCTACGCTGAATTTTAGTCTGTGTTTGACTTGCTCAGTACGTTGCCAGTCCCGGATTACTAATGCAGCTGAACGGGCTTCAAACCAATTAAGCAGTTAATCAGTTGAGTAAGAGAAAACATCAGTTGCCGTACAAACACAATTAGTTGTAACGAGAAAGGATGACATTGGTGAAATTACAGTACAATGGATACATCACGGATCAATAAAGGTGTCGAGTTAATTAAATACCACAGAGGATCTGTGGTCGGTTCATGCCAAAATTCCAAATAAGACAAGATTATTCAGGCGTAGTGTCGCTTCCTCTGTAAGTAAGTAAGGAATATTACAAAAAAGATAACAGGTCTCTAGAAGAAGTAACATCCTATTTTCCTTCGATATGACACGTACCGCATAGAAAACGTCTCAAATTCTTCTATTGTTACCTGTGTATTCGTTGCCATGGCAACGTTTTTACCGAGCCGTTGCCTAGTAACAATAAAGTGGAATATACATACAGGCACAAAGATTGATGGAAGGGATTTATCAAGTTAGCCGTGTAGATTGGCTCAGGGACCATATATACTCGTACGTATAAAGTTTAAGAAAGATTGGTTCGGGTATTCAAAAGTTATCGGGAGGGGATGGGGGAATTCACAGACACACAAACATGCACAGACAGCATGGTGATCTCAACGCATACTTTTAATGTCTCAAAATAAGGAAACTTGGCTAAAAATGGCTACAACACATCTTAATAACCCTGAATGTCAGCATGATATTCGTATAGCGTAAAATACGTTTCTTACAACGTTAACAGCTGATATTACAATACCATGGCATGAGCCTATAGTAACACATTGTAATCATCAACAACAGCCACCAGGGCTATATCCAATTTTGACCCACTCCGACTCCATATTTATCATAGAGTCATCTCTTCCTCGAGCTCCCACCATCTCTAGGCAGCTCCAGCTGAGCGGCAGGCATTTTCAACGTGTGATCCCCCAGTCCATTCTACGAAGCTCAGCTCTTTCACAGATGCTACGCACTTAAAAAGGTTTACTCTGATTTCTTCATCGCTTCTACGAACTAAAAGTGTTTACTTTACCAACAATATCAAGAATCTCGTCTCAGCTGTTTCTGTTCGTCCGGGTTTCACAGCCTGAAGTGTGTGCGTTAATTAAGGGCAATTAAAAAAAAGCCGATAGCAGTGGTCGCGCGGTCTAACGCAGTGTTTCTCTACCGCCGGGCCCTCGTCTTATAAAAAACAGAATTTACCGGGCCGCGGTCTCGCAAAGGTTGAGAACCACTGGGCTAATGGGAGCAGCAAGTGGGACCAGGGCAGCCAGTAGCATCATTTGTGCCCGAGAAACGAAGTCCCAATAACGCAAGAAGATCACACGCATGTTAGCCCTTGATACAGTTTGCAACAGTAATTAGTCGAAGCACAGAACAAACACAGGACAATGAACAGACTACATCAAACAAACAAACAAACAAACAAACAAACAAACAAAACGTTTGTTCATGAAGATATAACGCGGACTGAACCTGTCCAGTGTCGAAGTCGGTTATAAAATCTGAATACAAGAAATTCCTAGAAGGAAATAGGAGAGTGGGAAGACCAAGATTAAGATGAGAAGAATGTGTGTGGCAGGACATAAGAATTTTGGGTGTAAAGAACTGGAGGAATGTAGCATCGAATGGAGAAGAATGGCGAGCAATCCTGAGGAAGGCCAGGGCTCAAAAAGGGCTGTCGTGCCAGTGATGATGATGATGACAAGAAATTCCCAAACAGAGGAAGAGGAAGTGGAAGTGAGTGGAGTGGTCAGTGAGAGACGAGATCAACACAGCGTTGCAAAATTAGAGAAAAATGTGTAATCAGTAGTGGAGAAACGTGTAAACGAACATAGCTCGTCGCCAGACAGCCGAGAAGATGCAAATATGACAAAAATTACGTCACCTCTGATTTTAGGAGAAACTTC